AAAAAAAAAAAAAATAACTCCCTGCAAGTTTATAGCAGCCTACCTGTGGATTCACTTCTATATCTTATTTGAGGCTCCATGAATTAATATTATCGATGTGTCTTTTATGCAGTAGAGTATATAAAATGATAGCTGGGTTTTGGAGCTATAGTATGATTATTACTTGATAGTGAAGTATTCACTTAACGCCACTGTAGCAGGAATATTTTCAGTCATTTTAACTTTAAAGCAGATTGAACAACTTATTTAGGTAATAATTCAAATTATCATTGAATTATCACATTGTGGTGGTTTTAATTGTTAATGAATAAAGCAAAAGATATTTTAAAAATCTAATCTGAGTCTAACCATGAGAAAAACATCAGGCAAAGCTGCATTGAGGGACAGTGTACAAAATACCTGAACAGTCCTGCCAAGGTCTTCAGAACTGTCAAGGTCATCAAAAACAAGGCAAGTCTGAAGACCTGTCATCATCGAGAAATGCCTAAGGTGTCATTTAGTGATTGCTTAGTGTAATGTTCCCTGGATGGGATCCCAGAACAGAGAAAGACTTTAGTGTAGAGCAAGGAAACCTGAAGGAAGGAGTGACTTTCATTAATGATAAAATTGTTAATATTGATTTATTAATCATGTAAAAGTACTATATTAGGAAAAAATGTCAATAATAATGGGAACTGAGTATGGGGTATATGGGAAATATTTGTAGTATCTTCGCTCCAAAATTCTTTGAAAATATAAGGTTTACTTAAAAAATCCAAAACATGAGCTAGTTGATAAAATTATTCAGTTGCTCTTTCACGTAAAGTAAAATGAAAATGTCTTTATATAACTGATTTAAAGAGGTACTTTCCAAAAGATAATGTTCGATCTAAAATTTGGCAGCTCTTTTAGTCACTTCGAAACAATGTTTGTGTTCACTTTTCAGTTCCATCATATAATGTCACCAGCTGTGATGGATAAATTCTCTTTTTAGTGAGTAGGAGCCAATTTTTTTTTTTAAGGTTTTCTATTGCTATTTCTTGCCAAGTCACTGTTTGACCTAAGGGGAAAACCAGATATTTTCATTTTCTTTGTTTAATCCGTTTTTCTTTCTGAGAGTCACTTACTGAGGACTAAATTCATGATTTAATTCCATGGCATTGAGCAGGTAGATGCACTGCTTTCTGACTTTTTTTTTTTTTTTTTTGCTTGTTTGTTTTGTTGAGGCAGGTAACTCTGTTATCTGGGCTAGAGTTACAGTGGCGTCATCACAGCTCACTACAACCTCAAATTCCTGGGCTTAAGCAATTCTCCTGCCACAGCCTCACAAATAAACTGGAACTATCGGTACCCTATGCCTGCCTAAGTTTTCTGTTTTTGTAGAGACGGCAGAGTCTTGCTGTGTTGCCCAGGCTGATTTCTAACTCCTGGCCTCAACCATGCTCTAGGTCCCACTTCCCAAAGTGCTGGGATTACAGGCTGGTGTCACTGTGCTCAGCCTTCTGGTACTTTTGATAACAGATTTGTCATTTTCTTGGAAAAGTTAACTTTTCTTATCAAGTCTTTTTGGATTATCCTATATCACCTAAGTTTGCTTACTCAACTGCTGAAAATCAGTGTGTAAAGTACTTGGCTTTGATTCTTTTCTCCTTTAAGAAAATTCCTTTTTTGTTTATTGGAGTATCATTTGCCTACAATAACATTCACCAATGTTCAATGTGCAGTTGCTGTTTTCTGTGATTATACATAACCATGCAACAAGTACCACAGGCAAGACATGGACTAGATGACTTAGTTTAGCCAAAAAGCTTCCCTTGTGCCTGTTTGCATTCTTTCCCCTGCCCCATCGTAGCCCCAGGCAACCACTAACAACCTGTCACCAGAATTTTGCCTTTTCTAGAATCTTATTTGAATGAATTATATGGATTTAAAAAATTATATAGATTTTTGCGTTTGACTTCTTTTGCTTAGCATAATATTTTTAAGATTTACTCATTTCATTTATATTTATTACTGAATAATTTTCCATGATATGAATATTATTATTCAGCAACTGATGGACATTTGGGTTGCCTTCAGTTTTTGGCTATTATCAATAATAGCAATCCTTATTTGGATATCAGGAGTAATTTAGACACCTGTGTGTGGACACATTTTCTTATATCTTGGGCCCATACCTAGGACTAGAATTATTAGGCTGTGCACATTTAATTTTAGAAGGCACTATCCTATTATTTTCTAAAGTGGCTGTATTATCTTGCGTTCCCACCAGCAATGTATGCAATTTCTAGTTGTTCTATATTCCACCAGCATTTGGTATTGTCAGTCTTTCTAACTTGAGCTATTCTAGTTGATATGTGTGATTTTAACTTGCATTTATCTGATCACTTGAGATTTTGAATATTTTTCATCTGCCCGCTGGCTATGTATATATCTCCTTCTATAAAGTATCTGCTGAAATCATTTCCCTATTTTTAAATTGGGTAGCCTGTCTTTTCACTATTGAGTTTATTCATATAGTCTGGATAAAAGCTGTTTCTCATACGTATGTTTTGCCGAAGTTTTCTCTCAGTGTATGTTTTTGTTGTTGCTGTCTACCTTTGTCTTTTCAAAAGCAAAAGTGTTTGATCTTAATGAAGGCTACTTTATCAATTTATTATATATTTTAAAGTTTGTGCTTTTGGTATAGTATTTAAGAAATTTTTATCAATAAGTCACAATGGTTTTTTTTCTACTTTAAATAATTAGCTTAAATCTCTGATTATCTTTGAATTAATTTTTGTTTCTCTCCTTTCCTTCTGCTATTCCAGTTTCACAAACATCAGACCTCTTGATATTATCTATCAGGTCTCTGAGGCTCTTCTCTTTAAAAAACTCTTTATGGCTGGGAATGGTGGCTCATGCCTGTAATTCTAGCACTCTGAGAGGCCAAGGCAGCTGGATTGCCTGAACTCAGGAGTTTGAGACCAGTCTGAGGAAGTGCAAGACCCTATCTCTAAAAAATAGCTGGGTCTTGTGGTAGCTATAGTCCCAGGTACTTGGGAGGGTGAGGCAAGCAGATCACTTGAGCCCAAGAGTTTGAGGTTGCTGTGAGCTGTGACACCACAGCCCTCTATCAAGGGCAACAAAGTGAGACTCTGTCTCAAAAACCAAAACAAAACAAAATGAAAAAATGAAAATCAAAACAAAACAAAAACCCTCTCTTTAAATCTCTGCCCTTTAGCCTGGATAATTTTTATTGATGTTTATGCAAGTTCCTTTGCTCTTTCTTCTGTTATGTCCAACTGGCTAAGTCCATCTAGTGAATTTGCTATTTTAGAAACTATGCTTTTCAGCCATAAGAAAAGATGGCGACTTTATATTTTTTGTAATATCCTGGATGGAGTTGAAACACATTCTTCTTAGTAAAGTATCACAAGGATGGAAAAGCAAATATCCAATGCACTCAATACTAATAGGAAGGCAGTAGACGATCCAGGGCATGCCCAATAGGAGGAAAACTCATTTCAATTCAAGTTGGGGGAGGGGTAACAAGCGCGGGGAAGGGAGTTGGGGTGCTCTCATTGGATGGACACAGGGTGATGGGTGGTTGGCACACCTTTTGTGTGTCGGACATAACCACAAGACGAACTCTAGCTCACAAAACCAAATATTTTGACCTGGTTGCTTGTACCCTCACGTTCCCTAAAATAAATTAAGAAAAAAAAATTATTGCTTTTAGTTCTAAAATTTCTATTTGGTTCTTTATTATTATTAATATTATTATTTTCTCTGCTGAGACTTCTAAATACTCTGCTAACATTTCTCATGCATTAAAAAGATGCTTTGGGCTCAGCGCCGGTGGCTCAAGTGGCTAGGGTGCCAGCCACATACACCTAAGGTGGCAGGTTCGAATCCCCAGCCTGGGCCCGCCAAGCAACAATGATGGCTGCAACCAAAAAATGGCCAGGCGTTGTGGCAGGCACCTGTAGTCCCAGCTACTTGGGTGGCTGAGGCAGGAGACTCACTTGAGCCCAGGAGTTGGAGGTTGCTGTGAGTGTGATGCTATGGCACTCTATCCAGGGGGACAGCTTGAGGCTCTGTCTCAAAAAAAAAAAAAAAGATGCTTTGTTTAACTTCTTATAACCCCCAAGTAGTTATAATATCCACTTTAAAGTCCCTGTAAGGTTCTAGCATCTAGTTCATCTTAGGTCAGATTCCATTGATTATTTTTTCATTGCTCTATTTTCTTGTTCTTTATATGTTGAATAGTTGAATAATTTTTTTTATATCCTGGACGATATGAACATTAAGTTCTGGATTCTGTTATTTTCCCCTGATGAGTATTGTTTCTTTTATTTTAGCAGGTAATTTTCTTCACTGGGCTTGAACTGCAAATTCTTTTTCTTATACCAGAGCTCTGTCTCAGTTCAGTTCATCTGCATGGAGTCTGTTCCATGGCTACACGGTTCGCATGTTGGTTGGAGATTTGGATTGAGAATAGGGAGTTTCTCTCTCTGACTTTTTCCTTGTAAGAGAATTGTGCTCTACGCAGCTGTGTGCACCTTACAGACTATACTCAGCTCCCAGGCTAATAACTGAAGAGATAGGAACTCACTCGCAGAGTGGGGTAGGGTGGGGTGTGGATGAGAAATTGGCTGTGTGTTGATTGTCCAAAGGTGAAGGATTCATGGTGGAATATGTTTGAATGTTTTCATGATAAAAATAAAATAGTGAAAAGTAAATAAAAAGAGATTGGGGGAAATGGGGAAAACAGAAAACAAGTTAGAGATACAGTATGTTCAGTAGTTAGTGCATGGCTTATTGGCCAGATGGCTTATTTACTGAAACCTCCCATCTATCCTTCAAGTTCCTCAGCTGTAAAATGGGAAACTTGTATATTATTGATAGGATCAGTTGGGGGATTAAATGAGATAATGTAATATAAAGTACTCAGCACTGTGCTCCTACCATATCATGTTCCATAGGAAAGAGATTATTATTACTCAATGTGGCAACAGTAGAGTACAATTAAAGATGTTTGAGCATGAGAGTGATATAAAGCTGTTTACAGAACCACTGGAAAAGAGTATTTCAGATACTGGGGTTACTGTACAAGGAAATTAAAATTTTAGTATTAAAGCCAAGGAAACCAGCAAAATAGGTCGTACCGACCTCAGCCTCAAAGCTGAACTGGGCACACTGTATCAGTAGCCTATAGATGCTGAGTTGGCTTTAGGGACAGAGGGGCAGGTTTTCTGCCTGGACAAAGCTGGGGACCACATGAGAGGGTGGTGGGGGCCTGGCAGGGATGTGCATATCGAGGCCTGTGCAATGGTGGAGGACACTAGAAACAAGAGAAATCTGTGAGGGGTCTGGAGGTGTGGGGTCTACCTAGCTGGGTCAAATAGTTGGGAGGCCCAAAGTCATAAAGAGAAAGGCTTGATGAGACATCCTTGCAGCTTCAGAGACTCTTACCCAATGGAGCAGACTGGTTGAAGATCTAAAGTCACGTGTAATTCTAGACTGGTGAGGCCAAATGCTATGGAGGCAGGGAGCCTTGTCAGTTCCCAGAGGGGTTGAATGAGAGAAGGAGGGTGTGGAAGGAAAGTAAAGCCCAGATTTTCAGAGGAATCAGTGGTATGACTGACTGGGGAGGCAAGTTGTGCTTGTTGAGACCTGTGAACCAGAGCTCTAATTCAGGACTCAGGATTCCTGCCCAGCTATCTGGCATGGCCACCACAGACAGACCTGGATTATCATGATCTGTGGAAGGCTGGTGTCTTCCCTTTGCTCTCAGAGGTTAGGTTTTATTAGCCTCTGCCGCTTGACTTCACCAGAGGTTCTTTGAAGTCTCCTCTGGTTTCAGCTATAATGATCTGGTCTAACGAAACACGAGCAGTAGTAAGTTGTAAATACTTGTCTCCTTCCCATATCTGTACTCTTTTAAAAGACACCTCAAAATATCACTTGTGGAAATACATGTTTGCTTGTATATGATGGATGATCCTATCTCCATAAAGCTGGTTATAAACTGTTGCCTGTTTGTTATAAAGGCCCTCTAATTCCTCTGCCTCCCATTCTGGTTAGTATAGTACAAGAAATATTTTAGGTCTTGGGTAAATGATGATGATGGAAACCCAAATGATGTGTCTTCATCTGAATTTGCTTAACTCTGAGATTAGGTGATTATCAAAGTAATTGCCCTCACGAAAACAAAACAACACTAAAAGCATCCCTAACTTGTATTAATTGACAATATACTTTTGGTGAATATTTTTGAGAAGATAGAATTATTCAGGTAATTTTTCCATTTTCACATTACTACCATAGATCTGTGCTAAGTCTTAACAAATAATATTAAGTCACCAAGGAATTATTAAAAATTTATAAAATATACTTATGACAGAAGACTTTTCTGTAATTAGTGATTTAGATCAATATTTATTGGCCTGTAAAGATGCTCAGAATATACACTAAGTGAAAATTATCAGTTTTCAAAACAGCATATGTAATTGAGCCCATTTTGGTAATAAAACATGTTAGGCATAAGGGGGTGTGTGTGTGTGGGTGTTTGATTTCTAGATATCTATTCTTTAAAGCACATTCTCAGTGTTTCCTCTTATACTTTGATCTTCAAAATAAAGCATACTCATACCCTTAATTTTTGAACCTGTATGTGTTTGTACAGTGATGAGAATTTAGCAAATAATTGCTTTATTATATGTGACCCATAACAGAAAATTTTCATTGCATTATTTTAAGTTTCTGGTTACAGACCTAAAACTATGTTTCTAAATTTTTTTATACAAGGTAATTCATTAACATTGGTGTGAATGTCTATGCAGAGACTAACCATTCTCTTTTCTTTAACAGCTGGCCAAATTCCGCAATCTCTTGCAGACTGCTGAGGGGGAAGAAGCAGCTTTTTTGCTGAGCAATCACCGTCCACCACAGCCCCTGAAGGGCCGCAAAGTGAGAGCCTCTTTCCATTAAAGGTTGTCACCAGTGGACCACCTCAAACATGACTGTGGAGAGCCAGCAAAACAAAGCAAACAAAAATCCCTGCTAATAGTTTTTTCCTAGAATCCTAACTTATGGGTTATCATTTACCATCAGCGTCAATGCCACAAAGGAAACCAGATCTCTTTAACTAAACTAACTTAACTGCTCTGTCCCAGATTTGCCCTCGTGGATATTCAAGCAGTGGACATTGTTTGACATGTATCAAAACCCATGAAATATGTCTACTTCACCCTGGGTGACAACCTGGTCAATGTTGTAAGCCTTAGAATGTATTAAAATGTTTACCATAGGTACTGAATTAGTCATAGCTTTCAATGGTGTTCAGTGACAAACTTAAATTCATTTCCCAAATGATAGGATTGTGATGACTTCCTTGATACAAATAATTCTGCTTAATGTTTTGCTATTATTTCAATTTGTAAAAAGTAGATAATATTTTCCCTTCTTTTCTTTCTTTTTCTTTTTCTTTTTTTGACACAGAGCCTCACTTTATCGCCCTGGGTAGAGTGCTGTGGCAACACAGCTTACAACAACCTCTAACTCTTGGGCTCAAGTGATTCTCTTGCCTCAGCCTCCCAAGTAGTTGGGACTACAGGCGTCCACCACAATGCCCAGCCACTTTTTTAGAGATAGGGGTCTTGCTCTTATTCAGGCTGGTCTCGAACTCCTGAACTCAAGAAATCCAGCCACCTTGGACTCCCAGAGTGCTAGGATTATAGGCATGAGCTACTGCACCCAGCTAATATTTTCATTTGAAGTGAACTTTTGTGATGATTATACTGCTGCTCTTCATTGCACGATACTTTTTAACAAAATGAACAACATAAGCAGTGTGGAGATGAGGATATAGTTACTTAATGCATCTACTTCACAGAGCAAAAATAACCCATATAGTTTTGGTAAAAAATTTTTCAGGATGAAGTGGCTATTTTTTTTACTGTAATGAATCGTCCCATATATCATATTCACTTGTGTTAAACATGCCCTGGCTAGTCATTGACAAGATACAGTATGAAACTAACAGATTACGTGCTATCAGTGTAGGCAAAGCTACTCTCAACCTTGAACAGGCTGCCTGCTTTTGCCCAGTGTTTTGGTGGCAGAGAAGGAAGTAATCCAGTATGGCTGGCTCATCTTTCTGTCAATTGGTGGGGATACAAAAGGAGATATGAGTCTCCCATAAATATACAATTGGTCCATAAACACATCATCTGGGTTCCCCGGCAAAGCCCATTTCCCTGTTTATACCAGAGAGATGCCTTTCCATCTCTTAAGTAATTTTATAAGGTGTGGCTTGCTATTAATTTTAAGCTACTTCTTATTTATTTGTATTTGTTTTTGGTGAAGGTGGTGTTCCTTTTGCCCTTTCTTATACAAATGGAGTGACAGTAAGCACTACCTTAACAACTATGTTTAAAACTTGAACATCCTGGCTTGGTGCCTGTGGCTCAAGTGGCTAAGGCGCCAGCCACATACACCTAAGATGGCGGGTTCGAATCCAGCCCAGGCCTGCCAAACAACAATGATGGCTGCAACCAAAAAATAGCCAGGCACTGTGGCGGGCACCTATGGTCCCAGCTACTTGGGAGGCTGAGGCAGGAGACTTGCTTGAGCCCAGGAGTTTGAGGTTGCTGTGAGCTGTGATGCCACGGCACTCTACCCAGGGGGACAGCTTGAGGCTCTGTCTCAAAAAAAAGAAAAAATACAAAAAACTTGAACATCCACTGTGCCTCTGTCATCTTCTGACAGAAGTTCACCTGAGTTTCCCCTTGCTTTGGGTGGTTTTTTTCAGACACCTCTCTTCTTGTGGATGTAGATTTTAATAATTGAAATTATTCTGCAATATTTTTCTTGATAACATAACTGAGTATCAGTAAATTGTGTAACAGTGACCTGTAGGGCTGTATAAGTTAGTTCCTGAAGAGTGAAGCTGATGATTGTTCTTTTCTCCTCATCATGTCCAGCTTTATGCCTTACGGAAGACTGATATATGTAATTATTTAAAGAATTGAGTATTTAAAACGTTTTTGGAGATCATGTGCTGTATAAGTCAATGTAAAAGTAAAATAGTGTCTCTTGGAAATAGTTTCTTTTTAAAAGAATGTTTAGTAAACCTAACTTGTGTAACCAGAAGTTCTAATGGTTTTAAAAATGCCAGTATTGAATGGAAAGGTGTTTCTTTAGCTTGGAAAGTGCCAGATGGAGATCTCTGGTACCCTTGGTGATTGACTGGGGAAAAATAAAGTTAAAAGCAGCAAGGAATAAAGAAGCAGAACACACAAAATAGAATTTTCTTTTTTTTTTTTTTTTTTTTTTTTGAGACAGAGCCTCAAGCTGTCCTCCTGGGTAGAGTGCTGTGGCATCACAGCTCATAGCAACCTCCAAGTCCTGGGCTCAAGCGAGTCTCCTGGCTCCACCTCCCAAGTAGCTGGGACCACAGGCGCCCGCCACAACGCCCGGCCTTTTTTTTTTTTTTTTTTTGGTTGCAGCCCTCATTGTTGTTTGGCGGGTCCGGGCTGGGGATTCGAACCCGCCACCTTAGGTGTATGTGGCTGGTGCCTTAGCCGGTTGAGCCACAGGCGCCGAGCCCAAAATAGAATTTTCAAAGGTGGGACACAGGGGTCTATTGCTAGCTTGTGGGGTTCCAGCAAGTGGCCCTGAGTGCTTGTTCCACCCAGCTTTTATTGAAGGCTATTTTCTTATTTAGCTGAGGGGCTGAGCTGAGGAAGGGAACAAAAACATGTGTTGTAAGCATATTAGCTCTTATTCTATCTATAATCATTAATTGTAAGGGTCTGGGCAGTCTTGAGAAATCCAGAACCTAAGCCTTGTGTGCGGGCAGCCTCCTGTCTGTGGTCACGCATGCAGATCCCTTGGGGGAGGTTAGACCCCTCTAATTTCTCTGTGGAGCAGACATGGTGCATCAGTTCTTCTCTGAAGAATCAGTGGAAAAGAAGAATTTTCCCCTTATCTCCACTCAGAGGCATCTTCCTTCAAGGTTAGGGTACAAGTCCTCCTGCCCATATCTCAGGGCTCTTCCTATTCCCTTGATCTCTGCCCTGGTCATCACACAGACCCCCACAATGGGTGTTTGCTATGACTGTTGACTGGTCAGGGGTCAGCCTGGTTAATGTTCCTTCCCAGGCCTTGCATGTAGCTTCTGCTGCAGCCATTGTTCTTCAGAGCGCTTACAGAGGGTATCTGTGACCTGTATCCCTTACAGGCCATGCTTCTAGAGAAAGCAGAAAGTACCCAGACAAGTAATTTAACGGTTAGTTTAAAAGTAAGCTAGCTAAATTGTTTCCATTCTACCCTGCTCAGCTTATTTCTCTGTTTTTCCCGTTTCCTGAGGGTGTTTTCCTTAGCCGAGGATGGGGGTCTTCAGTTCCCATTCCTCCTGCAGAAAGACATGGGGAAAGACAGGTTGTGAAGTCCTAGTCAGGGAAAGCAGCCTGTTTTCTCAGAGAACGTAAGCTGCTACATCTGGAGGGGGGTGGGATGGGATTCTAATCACTGTATGTTCAGCGTTGTAACTTAGGGTTTCTGCTGCAGTATTGCTACACATTTTGCCTTAATAGACCAAAAAGGTCTACATAGCACTGATTCAACAATTACCACTTCAACATTGTCTGCTAATTTATATATCTTTTAGAGACAGAAGATCTAAGGTGTGTGTTAAAAGTATATTGCCTCCTTTTTAAACAAAATTAAAAAGTTGTAAATACTAGTGTAAAGATCTCTTTTGTTTTCCACAACAAATATTGGATTTATGTTTGTTAAGTTTTGTATTTTAATTTAACTTGGCTCTAACTGCAATAAAATAATGAGACTTGGGAAGCCAATGTGGGAGGATCACTTGAGGCAAGGAGTTTGAGACCAACCTGGGCAATGCAGCAAGACCTTTTCTCTACAATTTTTTTTTTTTTAAATTATCCAGATATGGTGGCATGTGCCTGCAGTCTGAGCTGCTTGGTAGGCAGGAGGATCTCTGCAGTGCAGGAGTTTGGGGCTGCAGTGAGCTATGACTGTGCTATTGAACTGTAGCCTGGGTGACAGAGTGAGACCCTGCCTTAAAAAAAAAAAAAAAAAAGAAAGAAAAAGAAAATGAGACAAACTTTCAACTATATCAGGGCCACATATGCCATACACAAATGAGATTGCATTTTTACACTTTTATCCTTTTATTTATTTCCTAAATCTTACATTCACAAAAATTGCAAATGGAATACAAACGCCTTTTTTCCCAATGAGTTGTTTAAAAGTAAATTGTCAATCTGATTCTCTGTCATTCCATAAAGTTTACTGTGTACTTCCTGCAAGGCAGGATATTGGCATACACAGCCTAATGCCGCCAAACCAAGCCCTAGATCAATATGCTTTGTTATCCACTCAGCCCATCATTCAAGAATAACTTATTCACATAGTTGGCCTGTTTCCTTCAATGGGGACCCACTTCCCAATCTTTTCCTTGGTTTTCATAATCTCGGTATTTTTGAAGACTGTAGGTCAGATAATTTATGCATTTAGAATGTTTCTCAATTGGTGTTTGTTCAATGTTTTCTTGGGACCGGATTCAGATTATGCACTGTTGGGAGGAATATCACAGAAATGGTGCTGTGCTCTTCTCACTGCGTCCTATCAGGTGCCTAATTTTGATTTGGCTATTAAGGAGTATATTCCTCTTCACCACTTCAGTAAGTTGGTGTCCGTCAGGCTTTCCCATTGTAAAGTCAATTTTATCCTTTGTAAATATTTGTGGGAGAGGATTCTTTTAAGACCATGCAAATATCCTATTCCTCATTAGGCTTCCAATTTATTCATTGGTTTCCAGCATGGATTTAAAGATTCTTATTTTCTTTAATAGGCTATAATGTTATTATTATTGTTGTTATTTATCCTGGTGCTCAGTTTGGTTCTCTGTTTGGCAGTGGCGCACCTTCCAGCTGATTTCTATGTTTTGGCACGTTCCAGCTTCCTTACTTTCTGGCGGCTTTGGGATGTTGCTGGCTCATCTGACACTTTTCCTTCCTTAGTCCTAGAACCAGCCATTACTTTGAGGAGCCCTGGTTTCTTTTAATGAAAAATAGTATTGAGAAAATGAACATCTG